GGGGCGAAAGCTTCGTCCCCACCAGTAAATCAGGTGAGCTTCATCCATTCCTAGACCACAAAGATGAGCAGAGAACTCAGGGTTGTCAAGAAGTGAAGAAAATCCTGCACTGGAGAGCTCTTCAGGTGATAGGAGAATCATCGTGAACTTCTGACATGCTTCTTTCCAGAGATCTCTTTGTACTTGAAGGGCAGAGAGATAAGTATCTCCGTTTATTACAAGAGTGGAAAGTCCAAGCTCAATAATGCTTGCTGACTGATATTGTGTTTTTATATGATTTTAAGGATCAACAATTTATAAAAACTTGCCATAGTTTCTTGGAGAGCTTTGGTGGGGCATATAATAACCATTGCAGGGTCTTTGGGGAATGTTTTACGGGAGCCCGCACAGCTTGGATCCTTCGCGATCGCAGATATCACGATCATCAGCATCACAAAGTATCCTGTTTTGCCTCCACCTGTCACCAACGTTGCCAGCAAGTCCCTTCCATCTAGAATGGGGCATATCCCTGATATTATATAATCATGAGGATCATATGGGAGAGCCTTGAGCAGTCCGCGAACGAGCGCGTGTCCATCAGGTGTGTCGTAGAGTGTTGGATCCGAGTCAGTGTTGGCTCCAAGTTGGGCGTGGGCAGCAGGATTTGTGGAAGCCTGGAGAAATGGAGAGTCCGACATAGTTAAATTATAGAATATGGAGGGTAGAACGGATTTTGTAAAGGACAGATGAAAAATTAAGGCTGCAGACGCGTAAAAAAAACTGCTAATTAGTTGACGCGAGCGTGCTATTTGGCATTGAGTGGTCGGCACGTGTGTCAACTGATACCGAATATCTGTACCACGGTTCGGACCCCACACGTGAACCTAGACTAGCAAGAATGTTGCGTTGACATCATGATGAAGGTTTGATGATATGGCGTTAGCCGGCACACATTGAATCTCCGAAACAGCCCAAAAATTCGTCGATAAAATATACAAGACATATACATGTTCAGTTCAGTTCGAACGGGTCCGAACCCAGTTCTCAAAATTTTCCAAAGGGCTGAACCGTGAACTGGAACCGACACCCCCAGCCCGAACAGGAACCAGAACTGTAACCGAACCGTCAGTTCAGTTCTGCCAGTTCGGTCCGAACTGTCAGTTCGGGACTGAACTTCGGCAACACTAGGTGGAGTCTACGGTTGCAAACATGAGGCCACCGCTACACATATTATACCAGACTCGGGTTCCTTTCTGATGAATCATCAGCTGGTTACGACCAATGGAGATGTACAGAACCTACGGGGTAGGGGTTGGGTGGAGGGATACCCAACAGACTCCAGATTGTCATGGGGGTGAAGTTATTCATGTCGCAGATGAGGGGGGTGAAGATGGGTCCTTGAAATGCAAGAGGGTTTTTAAAGGGGGAAACATGGATGTTTTCCAGCTTGCCAGGGGCAAGCCCCCTGGACCCCCTGGTACACATCTTCAATCCCAGTTGCAGTACACATGTTTCATCCCAATCCCCATGTACATTTTTTATTCTAATCTTTATATGTTGGTGTAAATTACTGGTACATCTACATATATGATAAAATTTGCATCACAGTGGCAATTTTTCTGATATCTGTATGTGCCAAGTCCACAGTGCAGTGTGTTGGGCCCCAAACCCTGCTTCCACATAGCCAATAACTTGGCTGCTCCTACAACATGGGTCATAGCATGCTGGGGGCAGGCACTCTAACTCCAGTTTTTTGACATACCATCCTGCAAATTCAAATTGGTTCTGACTACCCATTAAACAGAGTGTTGAATATTTATTACATATCTTTATAAATGGTACTACTTCTGATTTAACATCTCTTACTGC